ACTTATGTGTTATTTGAAAATTAACAACCTATATAAAAGAAAGATAAAAGGATGTAGGATAAAGCTTTCGGCTTTGATCAATCCCTGAGGGATGCGCCATACATTCGACTTCATTAAGCATAGTTTGGAAGTGATTGGAGTGGATCCATATCTGGCCTTCTACCGACCTATCGAGCTAGTGCTGCTATCCTCTCAGACAAGTCTGGTACCAATTTGCGGACCCCGAAGAGAAAGAAAGCTTGGTGGGCCGTGAGCGTCGGCATCGATTCCACGTGTGTGTTGCAGGGTGCCTCCAACCACTGCGCCTCACGCGACAAAAGAAGGATATCTTCCTGTTATCTATCTTTCCATAAGATCAGTGAGGTGACTGGTAAAATTAAGAAATCGTCGACCACTGTGGACTTCTAGGAAGTACCCACCGATTATGCCCTGCCTTGAAAAATAATAGTAAATAGTAAATAAAAAGTTAACATTGTGATTTCGACTACAGCCTCAGCTTAACTCCGTTCAATGCCGATTTGTGCTACCCAGATCATCTCGTTTACGGGTGATCATTGATGACACGGTTAGATAGAAAACAGGCTGAGAGAATGGCAAAGTAGGGGTCTCAGTGGTGCGATGGGTAACACGTAATCCCCGGAATACGCATCGAATCGCGGGTTCAAATCTGGCCTTGGGTCTAACTTTTGCAAATATCTCAGCATCACAATGGTTGTATTTCACATCACACCTTGTCATGAAACATAATAGCAGGTAGTAAATAAGAAGTTAACATTACTCACCGATTGTTCCAAATGATGATAAAGTTACTATAGCGAAGGGAAAGCTTAAGGTTAACTGCATCACTTCGGCTTGCGAACTGAACGTGGGCGTGGCGATTTAGACGGATATGCATCATGTTCGAAAAGTGGGTCTATCACCATCTCATTGTCCATGTTGCGTTGAGTTCGTTGTGACATTCACATCCGGATCACGAAAACACTTAAAGAAGAGACCGATTGCCGAAGTTCATAAACATTTTCTCTTCTTAGACGGTATTTCGTTCTGACAGTCATTCATCTGTGGGAGGAAAGGAATGCCATATGTTATGAACTGCGGAAGTTCATTATTCTTCTGCAAGGTGCTCGAACTAGCGAAGAAGTTCAACATTTGCTCTTGGAACGTCAACTGGAGTCAATCAATGCTGCCAATCTCTGGTGTAGTTAGGTAAAAGTAGTTTGCAAAAAAGGCGAAGGGAAAAAATTAAAATGGTGCGAAAAATTGAAATCCAATCTGCAATCATTACCGAAAAGACGGTATGCCTGGAGATGATGTGAAAACGTAAGAACCATTAAGAACTACAAATTTTGCCAACTAGAGGACCGTTCACTCAACATTGAATGGAAAGCTCTTGAAGTAAAGAATATTTAGGTGGAATTTATAAAGACGATTTGGTCGTTGGAGATTTTCACTCGACTACTATGCTGGGCACACTCAGTCTGGGTCCATATACAATAGTTTCTACAGAATTTCATTGGTTTCGTTGCATTACATCTCTGTTGTTATCGTGTAGCCATAAGTGAAGATGTTTTATTAGATTACTTCATTTGCCGAGAATGAAAAGATTATCTTTCTATCAGTGCCGTCACCAATCACTCGTCATCGGGATTGATCTGGAGAGCACAAATCTGCATTGAACTCAGTTAAAATAAGGCTATAGTCGAAATCACAACGTTAACACTTTATTTGCTTCCTGCTACAATTTTTCACAGAGCGATTTTATGTGAAGTACAACGACAATAATGCTGAGATATCCACAAAACTCCGGACCCCAAGTATCATCGAACACGCTACTACCCTTTCAAGGGACTAATGAGTTCACCAGCACACCATGCGAGTCTGTTGTTTCGCCTTTCACTCCAATAAGAGTTATTATTACCATCTTTTGATACAAAACAGTTTTCGTGGAAAATCTTTAGATGCTTAATCTTGGCCCAATCGCCGAACTAGGTGTCGCCTGTTCTTCCGCAGCTGTTCATTTTTCATCACACACTCAACAAATTGATAGTTTTGTTTCACATTTCACGCAACTCGTCTTCAAATATACTATGCGGATTCCAACACTTTTTGCAATTGATTCACATCCTCGATTCCGTCATCTACAAAGCTTTTGGAGCTTTTCGCTTCTCGGTTAGATTGCTGCTTGAGAATTCTCGTCTTCAATGACGTTTAATACAGGCCGCGATTCTTGTTTGACTCTTGCTATAGCCAGCCTAGAAGGTTCCTCCATGGCAGAAGCTGTAGTGTTCCCAGACAAGTCTGGAACCGATAATCTCGATCCCGGAAGAATGGGAGGCTTGGTGAATCCGCTATGGTTTCGAATCAACATGGTGCTTGTGGAAAACGAGCGTAACTACAACTGCGCCACGCAACAATATTGGCAATTTTTGTCTCGTATAAACGAAGACCAGACTTCACAAGGATGATCTCGATGCTTTTCTTTCAACCTCTCTTTTCTGAGTGGCTAATACTGATTTTTTCTCCTTCTTCTCAAGTAGGTTCTGCAGAAGCAGCTTCTTACAATTTGGAAGGAAATACCCGTACTAAAGACAGTCAACTTAATCAACCATTCTGAAAACGATGATTCTGCCAAAAGGTGAGTCTGTTGGCAACATCGTGTAGGCTTATCAATAAGTCAAACAAACCGGACTGATACCGGGCTTGGCCTATACGCCAGATGCCGGTTTTTTGATAAGTGTCGATATTTTTTTGACAAGTAAGATCGCTGAGGAGTCGACCATCTGAAGGGACTCATAGAAGAGACTTTTCTCTCTCACTTTAGATACATAAATGGTTTTTCTCGAAAAATTCTTTAGTCTTAAATTCGTCAAAAATAAAAGTACATAACGAGTTGAGAGTGACATCTATAGTTTTAAAATAACTCAAAAGACCAACTTTCTATAAACCTCGGTAGAGATAGTTCATATATTTATTTATACGATTTTATGAACTGATCTTCTTTAGCTGATACGAGGTTGCTATAGGTCTTCGTTGTCGTTGTCGTTGTTGTTGGTGTTGTAGGTCGATCGCTGACGGTTTGGCGATTTCGCCTACCTTAGAGCCCTGATGTTACGAGTGAGTCCCACTTGCATCAGCTAAAGAAAATCGGTTTATAAGTTTTAAAATAGTTCATAAAACCAGAACAGCCGCAAATATTGTGATACAATAAGGAATGCCGACCAGTTGACTTCTACAAAATCCTGCCCTTTCAATCGATGACAAAGGTCAAGAAGTAGGTAAGTTCCATTCGTTTAGAACAGAAGAACTTGTATCTCGTAGAGAAAGATTTGTAGATTCTCAGAGCTTTTATATCTGTTTACGAAGTTTACTGTAGATTGAGATATAATTGTTTGTACTTAAGAAATATGATTCTTTCCCACAACGTAAATTTGTAAACAACGCGCTTCGCCCACCATGGGTTAATTGAAAGTCGTTGTTTGAAAAAGTACCAAAAACTGTTTCATGTAATCTAAAACGCTTCCCTGAAAATTTTAGGGCCAGCATTCAAATAAGCAGAAACTTTCATTGATTCATTGCTCCGTTATCTTTTTTATCTGGATCCTAGTCATGCGGTAAAGTTGGCATCTGGCGGGCGTCGGACATGGAGCAACGTTATCTGAAATTTCATTCCACACTTTTACGCTCTGCCTGTCTTATTTGCTCATAACCCGACATAACATGTACCACACTGTAGGTGGGTTCCACCGCTTCACGCATTCGATTAGTTTGCTCGCATGCACTATTCACGAAGGCCTTCGAACTTCTTTTGCGGGCAGGTTCGGCTGCTGCTTGAGGACTTTTTCGATTTCGTCACGAATGTCGTTGACTGCTGATAGAGTCCATTCGCCCTGGTACCATGAGTTAGCCATCCTAGGGCGTGCAAGTAATAAGTTTGAACCAGGTAAGTTGGATGTAAATTTTCCGACCCGCGTGGTTAAAAGACTTGGTGGCCCCAAGGCGGTGTTGAACTAGAGTCTGAGTAAATTGAACCGTCCACGCATCTAACGGTATCCCTACCATTGCGTTAACCAGCTCCTTCATTCCACTTATAGCCGGCAAAACAATGTTTGATTAAGTAGATGTCGTGGCTGCAATGCTTGATTCATTGACTCCTTCGTACCTATCGCTTCCGAGTGATATCTGTTCAGTGTTCATCTACTAAAAGTACGTTACGCAGTGGTTGAATAAACCCCGATATAGGCACAAATTTCTGCTCCAATCCTACTCCCGGAATAACAAAGCCTTCCATCCATCCGAAGCTAGCAAATTTGCACCAGGCATGCGTGGAAGGATAACGAAATATTGGCTTCATGCATCGAGAAACCACCTCACGTATAGGTCGGACATGTATTGAATCAACTCTTCAATACTACGAATGGAGTCAAATGCATAGTGCATCCATGAGGAATTGACCGACAGTGAACTTTCTTTCTAGTAAAACTGTAGCCGTTGTCTTGAATAGATTGAAAATCACGGCTAGATAATATTTATTATAGATGACTTAGAAGGAAAAATAACTGGTGTAAGCACGAGATACAAACACAAACTCAAAACCATCTTAGCAAAACCTTATCCATCAACATTTGTAGCTAAAAGAAAAAGAATGGAGTACCCCACGTAGCTTTCGTTCGTGAACCAGGTCAGCTGAAGACGAACTCCACTTTTTTTTGCTTTTTATTTATCCTTCTTTTTTGTGGCCTGCCACCCTACTTTGCTAAAAATTGCCAACGGATTGTATTCTAATACCTTAGTACTCATACAAGTACACAAGAGCTTTACGCACTTCTAAACACTGTCTAATATTGGATTTCTTTTGTGTTTAGTAATTTACTTAGCGCTTTTCGCTTTCTATGAAATTTCTGAGCTGCTCTCCCATGGTGACCTTGTATGACAACGTTTTCACATTCCATCATTGCAAGACCTAATCTTAATACCAAGAATATGTCATCAGAATTTCAGGTATGAAGCTACTAGCTCTTTCGTTGAGCGTAACGTTTTCGGTGATATGCGCTCGATATGTCGATCTGCCAGAACCATACTCCGACTTCTGCATACTGGAGAACAACACAAATCTTTACGATCCACGAAAGCAATTTGACATTCCATGGTAAGTCTGGTATCGGTACCGCTCGGAATGCCGACAGCGATGATGTTAAGAGGACGAAATTCACGTGCACGGTCTGCTAGATTAAAATACACGGAACATTTGTTGTATTCATAGGATTATAGAGCTACTGAAAATCTGCAGTACAACTAATAGCGAAGTTCATTATGGATCCTGAAAGTCTTGTTAATCGTTCTCAACTGTTCCAGACTGGTGAAGGGATTTGTCTGAGCACAACACGGGAAGAGAACACCGTGCCTCTTTTCTTCATCTTAGTGCAGAATCATACTTTCCATCTCAGCTTCTAAAAGAGTTCGAACTCAGCAAGGAATTGTTAATTGAACACTAAAAGCATGTGAGAAATATTAGGAATCATTTGGAAAGAAGCAGTGTTTGGAACTTTATTATCATCCACGATTAAGCTGGTCTGTGCTGAAATCTTAGAAAACAGGCAGTTTCTAGTAGCTATGCTTTTCATAAACAGTGTCTGTTATGGAAAAAGTTGAATGTAGATGTAGCATGAGAAGGTTGCTTAGCCACCAACTAATGTCTCCACAACTCCTTTTGAGCATGGAAATACTCGGTGCGCATCACTTCCTTAGCGCTCTGTTAACATAAGAACCATATCTGGGTCAGCTGACTGGTATGAGTCAAATATGACTCGCTTTCATCTATGTTTTGAAGGGTGGATTTTCCACGCTAGGTCTTCTATTTTTACAGTTGTCTTCTTGACTATATGATAGTCAGGTCACTACATGAACCGACTTTTTGGTCTTAGAGCAGAGTATAGTGTTCGAACAAAAATGTGTTAAGGATATACACAAATATGTACAATTACTTGTATTACATGTTTATACTAGATAAGATAGGGTCGCGTGTGGTGCAGTGGTCGGAGGCGCCCTGCAAAACACACGTGGAATCGGTCCCCGCGCTCGTGGCCCACCCATCCCTCCATCCCTCAGGGGTCGGCAAGTGGGTACCAGACATTTCTGGAAGGATAGCAGCAATGCCCCGATACGGTAGGCCACCGCGAGTCATGTGTAGGCCAGATGTGCATAAACGCGAAGAACTTTATCCTTTATTTACTAGATAAAAAACTTGCGAAGGTTTAGTAATTCAATAATAATTTAATTTATATAATATTTAATTTAATTTAATAATGATTTAAAAAACGACTACACGAAGTATGCGGACTGCCAGAGGATGACCACCGAGTACTGGACATCGAATTTCAAGTACTGCGCACCTGTCTACGAAGCAAACAAAACCAGATGTTCGCTAAGTAGAAGAAGTGCGAGAAGAAAAAAAACTATTGTGCTCAGTATTTGGAGAACCGCCTCTGGAGGAGAATAGTGAGTGGGTCAGTGTTGATTCGCAACTCTATTAGATCTAATGCTAAAGTCACTTTGCGAAGAAAATTCGAAGACCTTTTGAGTAAATCGCATAACACGGCTTCAAGAGCATACAGAAACACCGCTAACGAAGATCAAACGAGTCACAGTAGGATAAATAATATGCAAAGAAATTCAAGGTTAAGCGTGCTAGGAGGCATAACCCTCCCTGACGGTGCGCGCTCGTTATTAGAATTGGGACCGAGTTTCTCGCCATCTCAACCCATTTCTAAGGTAACCTTGCGTAGGGTCGCATGTAGTTTACATGAACTTCAAGATAGACTCCGCAAAAAAGCTAGGGGTGAAGCGCAAAATAGGCGCAAACAACAAAAAGTAGGGGCAATACCAGCACCACCATTTCCTCAACCGTTCTTTAGACAACAAGAGCCCATTAATGAAGTTGATGTTAAATTTCGGATGTTTACGAATGAAACTTTCAAAGTCCTTAATCACTATCACGGTAAGAGATACTGCTCCAACCTCACTGAAATACAAAAACGTGGTATGCGAGAGGTACGAGAGCTGATAAGATCAAAAAACAGAAGACTATCGGTTAGTGATAAGGGTGGAGAGATCGTTGTAATTCCCCATCAGTTGAATGTTGAGANGATAAATAATATGCAAAGAAATTCAAGGTTAAGCGTGCTAGGAGGCATAACCCTCCCTGACGGTGCGCGCTCGTTATTAGAATTGGGACCGAGTTTCTCGCCATCTCAACCCATTTCTAAGGTAACCTTGCGTAGGGTCGCATGTAGTTTACATGAACTTCAAGATAGACTCCGCAAAAAAGCTAGGGGTGAAGCGCAAAATAGGCGCAAACAACAAAAAGTAGGGGCAATACCAGCACCACCATTTCCTCAACCGTTCTTTAGACAACAAGAGCCCATTAATGAAGTTGATGTTAAATTTCGGATGTTTACGAATGAAACTTTCAAAGTCCTTAATCACTATCACGGTAAGAGATACTGCTCCAACCTCACTGAAATACAAAAACGTGGTATGCGAGAGGTACGAGAGCTGATAAGATCAAAAAACAGAAGACTATCGGTTAGTGATAAGGGTGGAGAGATCGTTGTAATTCCCCATCAGTTGAATGTTGAGATAACGGAGCAGCACCTTAAAGATGCTTCCCTTTATCGTGCGTCGTCTGAGAAGGAATTTAAAAGTCAACACCGAAAGTTAAACAACGAATGGATTAAAATGGCAAGAGTGGCTGGGTTAAAACCATCAGTTATCTCTCATCTCAAAATTAACTTACCAACATGTCCCGTCCTGTACTTACTTATCAAAACCCATAAGTTAGTATCCAGCGATGATCTCGTGTCTACCGATCCATCGTTATTTAAGGTTAAACCTATCGTTGCGTTGACGGACCAACGGATAGAATAATGTGGTTAATAACCCTAATACTTACTCAGTTGTTGAAGTACATTCCAGCTCATCTAACGAACACCCAAATGTTCCTGGATCGTCTACGTAACGCGCGACCCAACAGCGCGTACATGGTGGAGTCCTTCGACGTCACTGCCCTCTATACGAACGTGTCGAATGACTCCGCTATGCAAGCCATAAGCGAGCTCCTCATACAACACGAAAAAGCAATAAACATGTACGGCTTCTCGATTCAGCAGTTGATGACACTCTTAAAGGAGTGCCTAAACTGCTCAATCTTCAGATGGTCCGGGAGGTATTACGCACAAATGAGAGGGTTGGCAATGGGAAAACGACTGGCACCAAGGCTTGCCATTGCATTCATGTCTAGGGTGGAAGCGCCAGTAATCAACCTCGGTCCGTTACTCTACTGTAGATATTTAGATGACTGTTTGGTCATTTGTTTAACACAAGAAAAAATTGACAGATGTTTCGAGTTGTTGAACGAACAGTCAGAGTATATTAAATTCACCCGAGAGAAACCAAAAGAAAACTGGCTTCCATTTCTGGTCGTGCAAATTAGCCTATCAGAAAACGGCTGCATTACGAAGTGGCATCGAAAGCCAAGCAGTAAAAACATCTTGGTTCATTACATCTCCTCTCACCTCTCTCACACGAAAAGGGCGCTTGTGAGAAACATGTATCGAACAGCTATCAGCGTGTGTACAGGAAGACAGCAGAGAGAGGAGTCCCTGAACTTGGCGCGACAAATAGCCATTTTTAATGGCTACGGAACCGTAGCTCGAAATAGGTGTAGAGGAAACCACAGGTACCCCAACGATAACTCTAGCGACAACAAGGTCCCGTTTATACTGCTCTTTATTTCGAATGAAGTAAGTGCAGCTATAAAACGCTGTTTAAGGAGGACCAGTCTAGAGAATTCGGTAACGATAATCGAAATACCACCGAGTAATCTAAGACGCCAGCTAGTTCGTAACCGCCTATACGACCGTCTATGTGCAACGCAAAATTGCATGATTTGCTCCAATGCTAGAGACGGTGACTGCATGAGTTCGGGTACAGTCTATCTGATCTCTTGTAAAGCGTGCGGGGACGAATACGTTGGCGAAACGGGTAGACCACTCTGCGTACGTATAAAAGAACACCTAGTCGGCAAACGTAAACCAAATACTCCACTAGGAACGCATAGAACGCAGAGGCATAACGGAGAAGATTTTGAAGTGAGGGTTACGATCCTCGCGCAAGAATCGAGAGCACATGCGCGCAAAACTCTAGAGGCATTCTGGATAAATTCCAGAAATCCGAAAGTGAACCGCAGGGAAGAATGCCGCATTATCACGCGTGATATAGGGCAGTATATAAAAGCGCTTTTCTGATGTGAGGGGCACATTATACTTCCACGTGATTTCTGTGCGGTTGGTCTCTACGTGACATGCTTAGTGGAAACCTCATAGAAAGCGGTGAGTGTGCAAAGCTGTGTTCAAAGTGATTGAAATCTTGGTTTAGCGTTTTCTCTGTTTGGTTATGGAGGTATTTGGCCGGATAGGTTGCTGTCAACTTGACCTTTCCAGGCTCTGAGGAAGGCGAAATCCTCCGAAACGTCAGTTTGTTTGTAAATAAAGAAATAAAATAGCACCTCGTGTTTGCTGAACAGAAGTACAAAGAATTATTCAATCAATGCCAAGGTTAATAGAAAGTCGGACTTGATAGTTACGAAGATTTCTCATTACTATGCTGGTTTCTCTTAACATAGAGAATTTGTCACTGTCGCGAATGGTGTTCCGTAGCTTCATTATTTTAAGGTATAACGTCAGCCTCGATCTTCCGCCTAGTCAAAGATGGAAGGAGATTTCGACAGCCTACGCTCAAGAAATAAAGAATCTTATTGGGGTGAAAATTTTGCCCTGTTTGAAGAATATTCATATAAAAACACTGAGTGCTTAGAAATTACTGCAGGTTCTAATTGACTTCATAACACCACTGGTTCCGAATGCCGTCGAGTGGGTTGACTTTTTGTTTGGAGATCTCGAAAAAGAATTACCTCAGCCATATAGAGACGAAATTTTGGTGATGTTTATTCTAGTTTTTGCTTTTTTAAACAGTTCTTTATTTTATTTCACTTTTATTTTACTTCATCCGTCCTTACGTCTACTGTGCTGATCCCAGCATTTCTCGCATCCACTTCGTTTCCTCGCATCCATCGTCCACAAAGGTCTTCCAAGTCCTTACGTGTAGTTTCGATTGCTCCTATGAGGAATTCCATTTTATCTTGAATGTCGTGGAACGATGATCGAGGAATTATCCCTGGAGTCCTGAGATAGCGGGGCTGGAGCGATTCCGATTGTATTGCAGCGAGTAATTTTTTCCTAGAAAAGTCCTGTACCAATTTGCTGACCCCGGAGGGATGAGAAGTTTGGTTGACCTGGAGCGGAATCGAACTAGCATCATGCTCGTGGTGACGGACATCACTACCACTGTGCTATCTGCCGCATATTTTAAAACAACTAATTTTATCATGTCCCTAGTTTCTTATACTTCGCGGAGTTCAAACATTCAAATTTCTACACTCTGCGGAAACGATTATATAATAACTCAGAAGACCGACTTTCTACAAACTCTAGCATAAAATATCGGTATATTTATTTATGTTCCTATGAAGGGCGCATGTGGCGCAGTGGTGAGAGGCGCCCTGCAGCGCACACGTGGAATCGATCCCCGAGCCCATAGCCCACCAAGCCTTCCATCCCTCCGGGGTCGGCAAATTGGTACCAGACTTGTTTGGGAGGATAGCAGCACTGGCTCGATAGATCGATAGGCCCTCCACGAGTCATTGTAAAGGCCAGATATGTAAACGCCAAGAGCTTTATTTTCTAGCTTTATGTTCTTATGAACTGATCTTGTTGAGCCGTGGCTGGTATAATTTGTTGCTGTTGTCTTTGTCTTTCACTTTTCATTAGTTTTATTCTTATTTTTCCGTTAAGAATATTTCTCTTTTTTAAAATGTTTATATAATATGCTTTTAATGTTATACCTTTTTATTTTCTGCCTACTATAATTTCGCGGCAGGGTACTAAGCGAAATACAACCACAACGTTGCTGAGATATTTGCAAAACTCTGGACTGCAGGTGTCTATGGTGGGAAACGAACGCGCTATTGTCCTTTCCGGGGAGTAACGCGTTCACCATCACACCATGAGGGTCCTTCGTTT